CACACACACACACACGGGGAGGGCGGGAGGGAGGGAGACGAACAGACAGACGCACACAATGCAACACCGAAAAAGAAAACCAGAAAGAAGAAAAAGCAACGGGAACCCCACCAGGCCTCGCTTCCTCTTATTCCCTGACGCCAACCTCGAGAAGGCTTGAAGTAAAACACAAAAAACGGAAGGCATCTCTAATCCTTCAGACGCGAAGACAAGATCCTTCTCCTCACTCGGTGTAAGTTCAATCTTCGCGTTGCTCTCGCCTCTTCTTCTTCTTATACCCACACAATCACCCCCAATTCCGGCCGCTCCTCGGTGTCCTCTAAAGGGCCCAAACGCTTCCTTTTCCGCCTTGCTGCTCCCTACTGTGATTGGTTTTGGTACTCGCTGAGGGGAGTTTTCAGCCACGGCTGCGTGAATTCTCCGTTCTCGCGGAGGATGTACACCTCCGAGTCGCCGGTTGTCACCACCAGCATTTCCCCTGCCGGGGACCATGACAGGCGCCACACAGGCTCGTCAAAAAGCACCACGCTGCGTTCCCACTTTCCGCCAACTTCCTTCGTTGGCTGCAGTTGCGTCCCACTTCCACTACTGTTCTGCCGTCTTTCCTGAGTGAGCGCCTCTACCTGGTCCCATGGCTTGCGGTGGATGATAACGCTCTTGTCTTGCCCGCAAGAGGCGATAACGGCGTGCCGCGTTGCACCGCAGAGAGGGGAAAATGCAACATCACGTACCCAGTCGGTATGGGCGTCCAAAACGTCCAAAAGCTCAAAGGGATGCACCGTTGGGTTTCCCTCATGCAGGCACCACAAGCGCACGTGCGAATCACAGCCCCCAGAAGCCAACAATACGACACCACTCAGGGCGGGACAAACAGGCGCGAACGAAACACTCGTCGCCCCCATCGCATGGGCAATATTGTTGCTATTGTTGCTGAGTTTTAGGCTCTCACGCCAGACACCACCCTCGTACGCAGTCACCGCCACGGTTCCATCGCTACTGGCAGTTGCTACCATTGGGCTTTCTGGGGACCAATTTACAGCATTAACGCTACCATGATGGCAGTCAATAACGTGCACTGGAGCCCACTGCTTCGTGCCCTGGTGCACCTCTTTCCATATAATTGCCTTATGGTCGTAGCCGGCGGAGGCAAGGGCAATGCCAAATCGTGGATGCGCCCAACTTACCATCCAGACGGGCCCTTCGTGGCCTGTAAGGGTGGCAACACGCTGCACCTGTCCGTTTTGGACGGCGTGGATGCCTATAGTGCGATCGGAACTTGCGGTCGCAAGAAGCTGTCCATAGTAGTCAAACTGTGTATCGTGAACCACATCCTGATGCTCCATCTGCTGCGGCGGCTTTGCTTGTGCGGGGGACTGCACATTCGCCGACCGTTGCTGTTGAGCTTGAGGCGGCGGTGGCTGCTGCTGCTGTTGTTGCAAGTATCCGCCAGGAACCTGCTGCGGAAAGCGCGGCTGTGGCGAGCGAAGCATTCTGTGCGGTATATATTAATTTTCCCCGCACCTTTAAACGTTTTCCGCCGCCCACCGCAAACCGTAAATACTTCTGTAAAACCCTTTATACCTAAAAGTATCACAACTACCTTGCAGCCTTATCTACTTCTGCCGGCGAACACAAAAACCTACCGCCCCACGGGAATAAACAATAAAGGGAGATCCGCCCACGGCAAGCAACATCACTATCTTAACGGATAGAAACGAAAAGCAAACAAACAAAAGACGTGCGTAGACAATTCCTCCAACCTCTCGGCACCCGCACACGTTTCTTGTCCTCCCTGTCCATCTCATTCTCACGGTAGGCGCAGGTGTCTGCTAGCTCTGTCTTCCGCGCGCGTTGCACGCACCACCGTCAGCACCGATTAGCACAACCCCCTGTCAACGGCCATAACACTCTCCACCGCCGCCGGAAGAAATCCACTGCCCACGCCATCATAACTTCCCGTATCCCTGTCTTCGTCGCCCTCCCAATCCTCCTTTAGAGCTTCATCGCTCGCCCAGGGCGTGTGAACAGGCAACGAAGCCCCGCCCCCCTCTAGGGAGTCACGCCCTTCCTTCGCAGCCTGCCGCAGAAGCGCCAACTCGTAGAGAGCGAGGTGTGTGTGAGCTAGCTTTAGTTCCTCACGTTCCAATACCGCCCGCGCGACTTTCAACCCAGATGACAGTAATGCATGTCGCTCTTTCCATTCTGCTGCGTCTTCCTCCGCTGTTGCAGCAGTACGCATCGCTTCACCCGATGCAACTTTGTCGGTGTCAGAGCGTCGGCGCTTGCGTCCAGATAACAACGTTTCTTCAGATTTAACCCCAGCAGTGTCAGTTTCTGTCGTCTTCTTTACATCCATACTCTGTGGTATACGGCGCTGCAGTACCGCGACAGACCAGTCTCTGTGATTAAACGGCAGTGGACACAACTGAAGAAGCTCGCTATGACACAATGACATTTGGTTATCCTCTTCGACGTTCATGTGGAGCGATGGAATACATGGCACATTGCCGCCCAGGGCTTGTCGTTTGCCTAACCAATACTGACGCACCTCCTCCACCACCGACGCATCTGCCCCAGTCGCTATGACACTAGTAAAGCTTGAAACGGGCTGTCGCTGCACGGGAATCTCAGGATTGCTGTAGGAGCCCACTTCAAATGCCGTTATAAGATCCTCCAGAAGAGAAAGCGAAATCTTCTGGCGCGCTGCTGACGCAGATGCAGATTCTGACGACGACACAGACGAAGGCGAGGCCGCTGCTGGGTGTCCAATGCCTCCCGTTTTACCCTTCGTCATCACAGGATTGGAGGACGCCTGCCTCTGCGCAATCCACTGACGGTCGTATTGATCCGCGACGTACCGCACAGTTACACGGCGCCGCGTAGACGGCTGGGATCCATGCAGTTGCCGCTCAGGCAAAACAAATGGTTCGAGATCCTGCAGGGCAAGGCCCCACTCCGAGCGCACTCGTATCTTTGGACGCGCAATTGAGGCCGGTGCGGTGCTGTTCGTCCCGCATCCGGTGATTGGGGCCAGCGAAGAAGCGGCGGTTTTGTTTGGAGAAAACGAGGCGCCAACCTGTCCTCCGCTGCTGAGCGTCAACGGCGATGTCAGCTCACTGCGAACCGACGCCTGTCGCGGAAGGGAGAGGCTACTCACACTTGCGTTGGCGCTGTTGGCAGATGCACTCACGCCATTCGCGTCCTGGCCCAAAAGTTGCGTGGCGAAGCCGTGCTGCTGCACTGTAATGCGTCGGAGGGAAAGCTCTTGAGACGCCAACAACTTTGGGTAAATCATTTCAAAAGTTGTTGTCGGTTGTGCTTTTTTTTTATTTATTATTGTGTGTGTTGCTGTAG